ACGGACTGTAGGCCTTATATTAGGCATTTTGACTGTTGTATTAGTGAATTCCACTCTGTATGTAGGCTTGTTATAGCCATTTGCGTTGCACAACCCATCACGCAGAGGCTATAACCATATCAATAAATGAGACAAAACAAAATATTGATTAAGTCTTAGCTATAACCTGTCCTGAGCGAAATAGCAAAGGGTCCCAAATGGTCAAGACTATCTATAGCCTATTCATATTGACAGATCTGTTTTCCCTATCAGCCACTGCACATGCTTCTTCAACTATTTTGTTTAAAATTCATTTAGAGGCTATATTTATAGGCCTGTGAGCTAGGGTCTCTTTTTAAGGGGAGCCCTATAATAAAAACAGTTATAAAACACAAATAGAGTTCTAAAATTATTCAGCATGACACCAGTACCCAAAATGATAGCCCAAATTGCAATGCCTACAAGTTGAAGGACTATTTTTTATTTGGATAGACCTAAATTAAACATTGAATTATTAAAGTCATAGGCTAAAGATCTTTGGAGAATTTCGATACTTTTGAATACACACATGGATTTCAATAAACAAATGGATAAGATTGTTCTATTCTCTTTGATTTAGTTCCTATTGCAACTCAGACAACTGACTGAATGGATGACATACTGACAGACTGAACTGAATGAAGGATGAATAAAATGTTAAAATATGTTGGAATGACGAGTTGCACGCATCATGCATGTTCTGTACTTTATTTGGCTAGTACTGTAGGCAAAATGACTCTATGGCTGCATGCCTCCAGAAGGGCATCTTCTGAGGCTGAGGGGTGATTTTCTGAAGGCGCATGGTACTGTGGTGCTGCATGGAGATCACAAGCTCTTCAACTGGGCGGCAGTGTCGCGATGGAGGGAATAGCCTATACGGAGACTATCTAAGACCACTGCAACAGAGTTATTGTAAAGTGTGGGAATAAGCTTATGCCAGACTTAGCCTACATTTAACCCCTCTCTTGTTCATTTCACAGTCCATATGTTCATGACCTGATTCAAATAAATAATGTCAAATTATTTTCAATTCATATTAACCCCTCCTACAGAATATGCTTTGGCAAGATTTTGAGAGATGAAATAAATATCCCAACATTCACTCATGGCTTTTCTTACGATCCTAACCATACCTACGTTCAACCTTTTGGCAGGTATCTCGCTCCATAGTATAGCTCCGCATTGACATGATTGGTTGACGGTAGGTAGGGGCGGGAGGTCCTGTATAAACACAAACTCACTTCCTTGACAACTTCCTTCACAACAGCTCTGTGCTGATCCGCGAAGTGCAAGAAGTATGAATGCCCTGACTTCTGCAGAGGCCATATCACGTCAATACTGCACGGCCAATGCAGACGTCGGAATGACCATGCAGCGCATTTTACCCTTACCATTTTAAATGTTAACTTCAATGGGGTTAACTAAGGGCGTCCCAAGGATCCCGGATTGCAAAGACCATTCAGCCAGCCGACACAACTCTGGATCCGCCCACAGAGTTAATCATTGATAACAACAATGTAACGACCTCATGCTGTGAGCCACACAAAAGTATTGTGTCTAGAGTGCAACGGCAATGGCAAATGATTTATAGCACATCTATTTCCGAGCGTTTATGATTATGTAAACTTTTGAGTTATGTAATAATAATAATACACGCTTAATTTAGTTTGAGAGTATCATACATATTGTCATTCTATAGGCATACATTACATGAGTAGGCCTATTGCAAAGACCAGGGAGGTTAGTCACAAATCAAAAGGCTGTGAAATGTCAATATGGGTTGATATGATAGAAATATTCACCATTAAATATTTCCCTTAAATAAGGAAGTGGCCCTCTCTTTTGTGTGAAACTCGAGAGGAGCTATAGCTTTTCTCTCGTTTTGTTCTACTGCGAAAAACTAAACCTTTACTAAATCAGGTGCGCTAGATTAGGTTTGGAGTGAAAATCTACAGGACGGTAGCTCTCCAGGAACAGGGTTGGAGACCCCTGCACTAAGCTATGTCAAAGTGAACCAAACATGTAGCCTACAGTTGTGACATCTCTTCCCACCCCAGTTGCCACGACACTTACCAGACTGTACCGTACGCCCCTGTCCCCACCTGTTTCAGCTCCCGGTACCGCTCCGGTACCTCCCAGGTGGTTTTGTTCACGTCCTGGCGACAGTAGCCAGGTCTGGTCCGGCTGGACATCTTATTTGACCTGATTTAACAAATATAGTACGTATCCCAAGAAGTGATTTCCCAGTTTCGTTTACACACCCATTGTCCTACCTATGCGTTCTTGAATTCATTCTCGTCACCGAATGCGCAGCGCGTCGACTGCGCAGCTTGCGCAGCTATAAGACGCCGCCTGGGGTCAACCACAGCACAGCCACTCCCGAGTCTCATGAAGTGTAGTGTATCAGGACATCCACTAACTGAAAAGGGACATGCATATATAGACCCATGCTGTATGCACAATATAAGTGCTGATTAGTGTTGTATGAGTTCTATTTGGATAAATAACTCAGACAGTGACAAGTTTGTCATTTTCAATTGTCTGCAGAGTAGAATATATTGTCAAGAAGGCACCCTAATCAATTCCTATTATTAGATAACTAGATCACCTGGAAGATCAGAATATCAATGGTATACAACAAGGATCGAATACAAGTACAATTGTGTGTAAGATGAATCATTACAGGCCTGCTTGTTGTTGCTACTGCTCCCTAAATGGCTTTCTGCATTGGGCGTTTTGAGATGTAGAGAAACCACTGTGTTCAGGGCTTGCTGGGACCTGTGCATTGAGGAGGCCCCAGGGGTACAGACATTCCTCACACTGCTCTGAGGCTGGTTTGGGAGAATCGCAATGCTGTGTGTAGGCCAGTTAGTGCGTGAGGAAGATACGAGATACACAATACCCTCGCACAAACATGGCAACAATTTTGGAAAATGAAGTGAAACAGAATTCTTGAAACACTGTCAAATCAAATGGCCTCAAGTCTATTTTCGGAATATTTTATGGTAGGTTTGGTGGGCTCTAGTATTTACTGTTTAACATGAGCAACATCAATCCTTCACATGCAAGGTTATGGAATCCAGGCATGAAGAGACTAGCTAGAATATAATGTCAATGAAGGCTATACTGTTGTGCATGTGTAGGCCTATGCATGGGTGTGCACACAAAAAGACAGAATAATAGCCAACATAGATTTTTGTATAACTTTTTAATCGACTATGATTCACATTTTGAGAAAGCTCTCAGAAGATAATACATTTCATATCATATGTACATTAATAATAAATAAAAACACCACAGGTTATAACTGTTCTATTATAAACAATGTTTTTGCTGATCAATATGAACAGACTTACCATCTGTCACCTGACAGAGGTCCCTCTTTTCATCATGGTTTGACATGCTTTGAAGGGGGTAATGATAGAGATTTGTGGTGGTGGTCACAGTGGTTGAAATGTTCATTTATGAGTTTGATTCATATATATCTCAGAGAATTTACCTGGAGCCCAAGAGAAGCCGTTTGAGTAGTGCACATTGTTTTCCTTTTTCCTTCACAAAAATTGCCATAAGTAAAACCTTCTAACTTAAAAAACTAGAATATTTAACAATACATTAAATTTAAGTTATGAATAGCTCAACTTTTTGCCACAATATTACAGTTTCAAAGAAATTCAAGTGGCGCAGTGGTCTAAGGCACTGCATCGCAGTGCTAGCTGTGCCACTAGAGATCCTGGTTCGAATCCAGGCTCTGTTGTAGCCGGCCGTGACCGGGAGACCCATGGGGCGGCGCACAATTGGCCCAACGTCATCCAGGGTAGGGGAGGGAATGGCCGGCAGGGATGTAGCTCAGTTGTTAGAGCATGGCGTTTGCAACGCCAGGGTTGTGGGTTCAATTCCCATGAGGGGCCAGTATGAAAAAATAAAATAATGTATGCACTCACTAACTGTAAGTCGCTCTGGATAAGAGCGTCTGCTAAATGACTAAAATGTAAATACGCTATAAAAGCAATTTCCTTAGCGTCATGACATCTCATTTGCATATCAATTCATTAAAAATTATTTATCCCAAGAAATTAAAAAACAACAATTTCCCAGGATTTCTTTGGCTTATATTTAGTTGACAATGGCAGTTTTGAAGCTTCCTGGAAAATGTATGCAATAAATAGAATGTTATCATGACCTACACGATGCAATGTGGTGTAGTAGTATTTGTGCAATGAAGCACCAAGTGGTCAGTGTTACAGTTGCTTTGACATAATGTTGACATTTATGTTATGTTATACTTGTGCGTGAAGTCCTTCGCGGCTCAATCAGTCACACACACATTATGTGAATCATTCTGTACAATTCAGATGATATGTAAATCATGTACATTCCCTTTCACACACACAATATTTGGTACATTGCGGTGATACTCAGTCTCTCGGACTCAGACAGGTCACTGTAGGACTGGACGTCTGGGACGTCATTCATAACCAGACAGCCAATAGGCTACACAGATCTACAGAGAGATCTGTATAAAGAGTATAGATCAGTGTTCTTCAATTCCGGTCCTGGAGGGCCAAAACACTTCTGTTTTCTATTTCTACCTGGTAGTTAATTGCACTCACCTGGTGTCCCAGGTCTGAATTAGCCCCTGATTAGAAGGAGAGGATGAAAAACAGAGGTGTTTCGGCCCTCCAGGACCGGAATTGAAGAACCCTGGTATAGATCAACTGAAGACAAATGATGATATTTCCATAAATGTAATTATCAGTTGGATCAAAAGTTGTTATTTCAGATTTCTGGGGTATCTATAGGCTGACTGGTTGACATAGGAGCATCTTACCTCATTAAATGTACCTTCCGTGGCATTACCCACCGAAGTAAAGAGAGTATGAGGAGAGAGGTAAAGGTATAGGTAAACAGAGGAAGGAAAGACTGAGTGACAGTCTCTATTGTACATATGGGTGGGTAGACTGTCAGGGAAGGGACTACGAAGATCAGGTGACACAGATTTCATTGGTCCAAACAGGGCGCTTGCTGTCATAGGGAACACGCATTCGGGATGCTGCCGCTTCTGCCCCCTGCTGCTCCGCCCCCCCCTGGCCCAGCCATCTCGGTTGCTCCAGACCTGGCTGGGTAGAGAAAGGCTTCTCCAGAACCTTCAAGACCCGCTGGACCTATGGAACAGATCACAGAGCGATGGGAGAAAGATAAAACTATGAGATGGAAATCCAGAGAAGCAAGTTAAGGGAGAGAGAGCATGTTTTTTCCATTGTGAGAATGCTTCTGTAATGGTGACATCGTTGTTTGGAATAATGCAAATGAAAGTCAAAAGGGAAGCGGTATTGAAAGTTTGGTCCCTATTACAGAATAACGAAGAACACGTGGAGAAAGGATCGGAGCCTGACCTCAGAGAAGTCTCCGTTCTCGGCTGCCTCTATTGCATTCTGGGCGATGTAGTTCCTGAGGACGTATCGTGGGTTGGTGCCGTTCATCACATTCACTCTCTCCTCCTGCAGTGCCTGGACGTCCCTTTGGCCCTCAACCTCCCCAGCCAGACGCTTCCTGCACCAGTCACAACACAGACCTGGATGACTCAGATAACAGGCTGGCACAGAATAAAAACACCTCTAGTGCAAACACTAGACCAAACTGCTCTTCTCCATGCCTAGAATTTCTCATTTACATTTAAGTCATTTAGCAAACGCTCTTATCCAGAGCGACTTACAAATTGGTGCATTCAACTTAGGATAGCCAGTGGGACAACCACCACTGGGGGAGGGGGGGTGTAGAAGGATTACTGTTAGACTATTCCAGGTATTCCTTCAAGAGGTAGGGTTTCAAGTGTCTCCGGAAGGTGGTCAGTGACTCCGCTGTCCTGGCGTCGTGGGGGAGCTTGTTCCACCATTGGGGTGCCAGAGCAGCGAATAGCTTTGACTGGGCTGAGCGGGAACTGTGCTTCCGTAGAGGTAGGGGGGCTAGCAGGCCAGAGGTGGATGAACGTAGTGCCCTCGTTTGGGTGTAGGATCTGATCAGAGCCTGAAGGTAAGGAGGTGCCATTCCCCTCACAGCTCCATAGGCAAGCACCATGGTTTTGTAGTAGATGCGAGCTTCAACTGGAAGCCAGTGGAGTGTGCGGAGGAGCAGGGTGACATGAGGGAACTTGGGAAGGTTGAACACCAGACGGGCTGCAGCGTTCTGGATAAGTTGTAGGGGTTTAATGGCACAGGCAGGGAGCCCAGCCAACAGCGAGTTGCAGTAATCCAGACGGGAGATGACAAGTGCCTGGATTAGGACCTGTGCCGCTTCCTGTGTAAGGCAGGGTCGTACTCTGCGAATGTTGTAGAGCATGAACCTGCAGGATCGGATCACCGCTTTGATGTTAGCGGAGAACGACAGGGTGTTGTCCAGGGCAACACCAAGGTTCTTTGCACTCTGGGAGGAGGACACAATAGAGTTGTCAACCGTGATGGCGAGATTATGGAGCTGGCAGTCCTTCCCCGGGAGGAAGAGCAGCTCCGTCTTGCCGAGGTTCAGCTTGAGGTGGTGATCCGACATCCAAACTGATACAGTGAGGGAAAAAAGTATTTGATCCCCTGCTGATTTTGTACATTTGCCCACTGACAAAGAAATGATCAGTCTATAATTTTAATGGTAGGTTTATTTGAACAGTGAGAGACAGAATAACAACAACAAAATCAAGAAAAACGCATGTAAAAAATGATTTGCATTTTTAATGAGGGAAATAAGTATTTGACCCCCTCTCAATCAGAAAGATTTCTGGCTCCCAGGTGTCTTTTATACAGGTAACGAGCTGAGATTAGGAGCACACTCTTAAAGGGAGTGCTCCTAATCTCAGCTTGTTACCTGTATAAAAACCACCTGTCCACAGAAGCAATCAATCAATCAGATTACAAACTCTCCACCATGGCCAAGACCAAAGAGTTCTCCAAGGATGTCAGGGACAAGATTGTAGACCTACACAAGGCTGGAATGGGCTACAAGACCATCGCCAAGCAGCTTGGTGAGAAGGTGACAACAGTTGGTGCGATTATTCGCAAATGGAAGAAACACAAAAGACCTGTCAATCTCCCTCGGCCTGGGGCTCCATGCAAGATCTCACCTCGTGGAGTTGCAATGATCATGAGAACGGTGAGGAATCAGTCCAGAACTACACGGGAGGATCTTGTCAATGATCTCAAGGCAGCTGGGACCATAGTCACCAAGAAAACAATTGGTAACACACTACGTCGTGAAGGACTGAAATCCTGCATCGCCCGCAAGGTCCCACTGCTCAAGAAAGCACATATACAGGGCCGTCTGAAGTTTGCCAATGAACATCTGAATGATTCAGAGGAGAACTGGGTGAAAGTGTTGTGGTCAGATGAGACCAAAATCGAGCTCTTTGGCATCAACTCAACTCGCCGTGTTTGGAGGAGGAGGAATGCTGCCTATGACCCCAAGAACACCATCCCCACCGTCAAACATGGAGGTGGAAACATTATGCTTTGGGGGTGTTTTTCTGCTAAGGGGACAGGACAACTTCACTGCATCAAAGGGACGATGGACGGGGCCATGTACCGTCAAATCTTGGGTGAGAACCTCCTTCCCTCAGCCAGGGCATTGAAAAGGGGTCGTGGATGGGTACTCCAGCATGACAATGACCCAAAACATACGGCCAAGGCAACAAAGGAGTGGCTCATGAAGAAGCACATTAAGGTCCTGGAGTGGCCTAGCCAGTCTCCAGACCTTAATCCCATAGAAAATCTGTGGAGGGAGCTGAAGGTTCGAGTTGCCAAATATCAGCCTCGAAACCTTAATGACTTGGAGAAGATCTGCAAAGAGGAGTGGAACAAAATCCCTCCTGAGATGTGTGCAAACCTGGTGGCCAACTACAAGAAACGTCTGACTTCTTTGATTGCCAACAAGGGTTTTGCCACCAAGTACTAAGTCATGTTTTGCAGAGGGGTCAAATACTTATTTCCCTCATTAAAATGCAAATCAATTTATAACATTTTTGACATGCATTTTTCTGGATTTTTTTGTTGTTATTCTGTCTCTCATTGTTCAAATAAACCTACCATTAAAATTATAGACTGATCATGTCTTTGTCAGTGGGCAAACGTACAAAATCAGCAGGGGATCAAATACTTTTTTCCCTCACTGTATGTCTGCCAGACATGCAGAGATGTGATTCGTCACCTGGTTATCAGAAGGGGGAAAGGAGAAAATTAATTGTGTGTCGTCTGCGTAGCAATGATAGGAGAGACCATGTGAGGATATGACAGAGCCGAGTGACTTGGTGTATAGAGAGAATAGGAGAGGGCCTAGAACTGAGCCCTGGGGGACACCAGTGGTGAGAGCATGTGGTGCGGAGACAGATTCTCGCCACGCCACCTGGTAGGAGCGACCTGTCAGGTAGGACGCAATCCAAGAGTGAGCAGCGCCGGAGATGCCCAACTCGGAGAGGGTGGAGAGGAGGATCTGATGGTTCACAGTATCAAAGGCAGCAGATAGGTCTAGAAGGATAAGAGCAGAGGAGAGAGAGTTAGCTTTAGCAGTGTGGAGAGCCTCCGTGACACAGAGAAGAGCAGTCTCAGTTGAATGACCAGTCTTGAAACCTGACTGGTTTGGATCAAGGTCATTCTGAGAGAGATTGCAGGAGAGTTGGCTAGAGACGGCACGCTCGAGAGTTTGAGAGAGAAAAGAAAGAAGGGATCCTGGTCTGTAGTTGTTGACATCGGAGGGATCGAGTGTAGGTTTTTTGAGGAGGGGTGCAACTCTCGCTCTCTTGAAGACGGAAGGGACATGCTATATTTCTAGAGCAGGTGAGTGCTAGGGATATACACACTGGTGGTGGAGGGGTGAGTAAGTCGCCTAGTGTCAAACACTGAGTTTGAGAAAGGGGTATGTTATGTAAGACTAAGTATGTAATTAAGACTACATTACTTATTTCTGACCTGTAGGAGGTGACCCAGGTGGCCCAGTCCTCCCTGTGCTTGGCCTTAACCACCTCCTCGTCGGCCTCTAGCTGCTCCTTCAGCCGGCCCAGCTTCTCCAGCTGCATGGCCATCGTCCTCCGTTCCGAGATCATCTGGAACAGGGGCGAGTTGTTCTGGGCCAAATGCAGCAGCATGGCCAACTCACTGAAGGGAGAGTGGTGTTTCAATGCAAAATGTCAATAAAAATGTGATTAAAATTTTTTCTAGAAGGGAGAAGCAGAGAGGAAGGAGAAAGCGAAGGAAGAGGCAGAGACTAAAGAGATACAGTGCATTTGGAAAGTTTTCAGACCCCTTGATTTTTACCACTTTGTTACTTTACCGCCTTATTCTAAAATGTATGAAATAAATAAAAAAATCTCATCAATACCCCCATAATGACAAAGTGAAAACAGGTTTTTATAATTTTTTGCAAATTTATAAAAAATACAAAAAGAAATACCATATTTACATAAGTATTCAGACCCTTTGCTATGAGACTCGAAATTGAGCTCAGGTGCATCCCGTTTCCATTGATTATCCTTGAGATGTTTCTACAACTTGACTGGAGTCCACCTGTGGTAAATTCAATTGATTGGACATGATTTGGAAAGGCACACACCTGTCTATATAAGGTCCCACAGTTGACAGTATATGTCAGAGCAAAAACCAAGCCATGAGGTCGAAGGAATAGTCCATAGAGCCCCGAGGATTGTGTCGAGGCACAGATCTGGGAAAGGGTACCAAAACATTTCTGCAGCATTGAAGGTCCCCAAGAACACAGTGGCCTCCATTATTCTTAAATGGAAGAAGTTTGGAACCACCAAGACTCTTCCTAGAGCTGGCCGCCTGGCCAAACTGAGCAATCGGGAGAAGGGCCTTGGTCAGGGAGGTGACCAAGAACCCGACAGTCACTCTGACAGAGCTCCAGAGTTCCTCTGTGGAGATGGGAGAACCTTCCAGAAGGACAACCATCTCTGCAGTACCACCAATCAGGTCTTTATGGTAGAGTGGCCAGACTGAAGCCACTCCTCAGTAAAATGCACATGACAGCCCGCTTGGAGTGTGCCAAAAGGCACCTAAAGGACTCTCAGACCATGAGAAACAAGATTCTCTGCTCTGATGTAACCCAGATTGAACACTTTGGCCTGAATGCCAAGCGTCACGTCTGGAGGAAATCTGGCACCATACCTACGGTGAAGCACGGTGGTGGCAGCATCATGCTGTGGGGATGTTTTTCAGCGGCAGGGACTGGGAGACTAGCCAGGATCAAGGGCAAGATTAATGGAGCAAAGTACAGAGAGATCTTCAATGAAAACCTGCTCCAGAGTACTCAGGACCTCAGACTGGGGCGAAGGTTCACCTTCCAACAGGACAATGACCCTAAGCACACAGCCAAGACAACGCATGAGTGGCTTCGGGACTAGTCTCTGAATGTCCTTGAGTGGCCCAGCCAGAGCCCAGACTTGAACCTGATCGAACAGCTCTGGAGAGACCAGAAAATAGCTGTGCAGCGACGCTCCCCATCCAACCTGACAGCGCTTGAGAGGATCTGCAGAGAAGAATAGGAGAAACTAGCCAAATAAAGGTGTGCCAAGCTTGTAGCGTCTGAATACCTATGTAAACGTGATACTTTTTAGTTTTTATTTTAAAAATGTCTAAAAACCTGTTTTTGCTTTGTCATTATGGGGTATTGTGTGTAGATTGGTGAGGGGGGAAAAAACTATTTAATCTATTTTAGAAGAAGGCTGTAATGTAACAAATTGTGGACAAAGCAAGGGGTCTAAATACTTTCCAAATGCACTGTATAAGACTAACAGACAAACACTTAGGTCAGTGGACGACGTCCATCCAATGGATTATAGGGATGTGACAAATGGAAACTTTTTCTTTATGTTTAGACCCTGCTCCTGAGTGGCGCAGTGGTCTAAGGCACTGCATCGCAGTGCTAACTGTGCCACTAGAGATCCTGGGTCGAATCCAGGCTCTGTCGCAGCCGGCCGCGACCGGGAGACCCATGGGCGGCTCACAATTGGCCCAGCGTCGTCCAGGGTAGGGGAGGGAATGGCCGGCAGGGATGTAGCTCAGTTGATAGAGCATGGCGTTTGCAATGCCAGGGTTGTGGGGTTGATTCCCACGGGGGGCCAGTATAAAAAAATATGTGTATTCACTAAACTGTAAGTCGCTCTGGATAAGAGCGTCTGCTAAATGACTAAAATGTAAAATGTAAATGTAATGTTTAAACAGCCATTTTCTGTGGGGTGGGGGGGGGGGTTCCCCTTAAAACGATAAGAAAAATTCTTAAAATTCCACATGAATTTACAATGCTGTTGCCAGCAATGGTGTGGGTCTCACGGTGCGTCCCTTTCAGATGGTTAAGCGTTGCACCTGTAGTACCATTAATGTACTACAATTCCACCTCACAAAGTTTGTATTTCCTTCTCATTTAACTTCTCAAAGTATTGTCATACAGGACTTCACTGCTGTCACTTGCCTTTCTCTGCCATTTTTCCAACAGTTAACGACGATGACATAGTGGTGGAGCGTCGACTCCAAAATAATTGATTATTTGACTCCTTGCACATCGACTCCCATTGTCGACTCCCATTTCCAAGTGTCAAGATTAGATTCAGCTAGGAATCGACTCCTAAGATTCAGTATTTTTGGAACGGAGGATACTGATTAATTGCGTGACTTCCGAGAACACAAACACTCACATCTTTCATTGCGAGCTAGCAAGGGACAGAGAGGGTATAGGCAGGTCGGCCACCAGGCTGACAGAGTCAGAACCGTGCACTAGGCCTATTTATCGGCAATCAAAAGCTGTACAGTATCTCGCAATGGAATGATGTATCTCGCAATTTCTTGGCTTGCAATGTCTCGCAACCAGTGAAGAAGGGCCTATCATCAATGAATAGGCTAGGATACTGAGATGAGCGAGATGCAACACTCCGCTCTCACACAGTATCTGCGTACGTGCACAGGTTCGCTTCAAGCTGTTCAGTGTGGTAGCCAGGGCACCAACAAACAGCTGAGAAATTGAGCCTCGTGCTTCAATGCTCTTAGTTGTTGCGGAAATTGACTATAACACAGAAAATAATTTGTTTTGTGATAACTGCACTGTGATTTAATTTATTTGGGGGAGGAACAAACATTGTTTTTCAGTTACGGATTTTTCTTAACGTTAAGGATCCCAATTTCCTTTTAAACGTTCACACCCCTAATGCCCACTACTGCATTATTGACCAAATAGTTTTAGTCTACAATGAGAATGTCCCGCTACTCCAACATCAACGACCCAAGATCAAGTCAGCTTCAAACAAACCATTAACTGTTCTCACTGCTCATGTCAATCTATTCTCTCACTGTGTGTCCATGCTGGGCTTGTTGGCATCCTTGAGCTCCTCCAGAGAGGCACACTGCTCCAGGAAGAGGTATTGCCATTTTGATGACTCCTTCCTCTTCCTCCGCGTTGCCCTCAGTGGGAAAGGGAATCTGGCTCAGACAGCAAAACATGTTAGTGAAGTCTGCACCTACAATGGGGAAGGAAGGAAATGATCAGAGATTAAATCAGTCATGCTTAGTCATAGTGTAGTGTCAAAGCTGTTTTGTGTGAATGGTGTTACTGTGAGTCTCCTTTTTATGCATCTGTGTTGAGTGTACTGCGGCACATCCCTCAGTTCTCTTTGTCCCTCCTCATTCCCCTTAGCTTTGTTATGTACAATGAGTATGTAGTGTCTTTCTCTCCCTACCTGTGTTGTACATGGTCTGCAGCAGCTCAGTGATCAGCATCTCATCCTCTGGCTCTTCCTTCCTCAGCAGACCCAGCTTCCTCCTCATGTTGTCCGGGTAGAAGGTGTTGTAGAGGGGCAGGTACTCATCCAGGACAGACTCCGCCCGGCCTGGGGGCAGCTCTGGGTCCAGGGCCTCGGCCAGGTGAGGTGAGCCAGGTTCCAGCGGAGATGGCCGGCTGGGCCTGATAGGTGTAGCGGCCTGAGTTATCTGAGGCGTTGCAGATGAAGTCAGGATCAAACCTGCTGACAAGCGAGAGGAAGAAATAGACAGTGTAAAGCCAGATCCTTGTTTGAAATAATGTGGATCTAAGATTATCCTGTATACAGTATGTTAGGTACTGTAAATTACTGTACCTGTCCATGAGGACTCCATGGCAGAAGCCCACACACTGCCACTGGGCCACCAGCACGCAGCATCACCTACCACCAAGACACAGACGCACACAGAGAAGTGTCAGACTGGACAAGAGGAGAGGACTTGAGTCTACTGGTTTCAGTCATATCTTGCTTAGGTGATGGGTTAGGCAAAAATATTTTGGGATCGTATGCTGTGCTTTTGATAATCTTGACGAGGGATGTGAATGTGCTTAGCAATGCATAGTTAATCGCAAAACAATAACATCTTACATGTTACTACTTTGTTAATACCATTTAGCATTAGAGAAGATAATGAATTAATAGCAGTGTGTGCTAAGGCAGTCACACTCTCACTGTATTATGACTTCCTGTCACAGCAGGGATGAACAGGATAAGAGGATAGCAGTGTTCTTGGCTCCACAACAAAAAGGTGAAGGATAGAGAGAGCTCCAATGTAGGCCTACAGTTTGCTTTGACACAAAGTAGTTTCACTGTCAGAAAGGATAGCCATATTCCTTCAAATTCGTATCAGAGCATTATTGTATTCAGAATGAATGATTGATGCTTCACTGAATCTAGTGGTGTCCATGATTACCTCTCTGAAGAATGACACATTCCTCTCCACTCTGTCTGTGTGGTTCTGCTGGATCTCTGAGTAGAAGCTCTCTATGACATAATCCATCATCTGACCTCTGATCTCATCATGGCCATAGCTGGGTCCCTGCCAGCCTGTGTTCTCATCAGCCACCTTAAAGATCTCAAAGGACCCGAATCTGCACACACACAATGATCAGTGACAAATGTCCATATTGTTCATGTAATTTTGTCAAAACTGGGAATCACTCTATCAACACTTTGTTTTTGTTTTTAAACCTACTGCAGTGGCCAATGGATAGGATGTGATAGTAACCTGATAAAGGTGGGTGCGATGCGGAGGACCACAGAGCACCTCTCTTTGGTGGGGTACCCGCTGTAGTACACGTCTCGTACCACCTTGCTGTCGGAGGTCACCAGTGACCCTGCCCTGGTAGTGGGCACCCCCAGAGCGAACACCGCCTCGCTGAACAGAAACTCTCTGATACTGGAGCACAGCACCTTACGGCCGTCAGCTTGTCTGGGAATGAGAGAGAATTAATTATACAAACGTGTATTCATAATTCCATATACTGTGCTTCCAGAATGTGCACTGCATATGAAGAACAATATAGGCCAAGACACAATGCTAGCCAAAAACTGAGGAAATAGACTGAGGAAACAGATTTCATTAAAGAAAGTCATGCTTATGCAATACTGTGTAAACTGCCCCACCTGGAGTAGGGAGTCAGACCAGCTCCCTTGACCTGAATCTCCCACCCGCCACTGGGGTTCTCCCGCAGCAGCTCTGGCCTCTGGTCAGCTGGAGCCTTTACATCACCCAGATAGCAGGCTGCCCCGTCCCCTCGTGTCTGGCGAACGAGCCGAACTGGTGACCGCAGTAGCAGTAGGCGGCAGGCTCGGACCCTGCCATTACTTTGGAGCCACTCAGATACTTTGGGCCAAGCGGGTCGTTCAGAACCTTCTCGGCGTTCAGCCCAAGCAAAGCCAAAGCGTCATTAGAGACAGCCACGAACCTAGGCTTGACCACTGGCTGCGGCTTTACTCGGGAGAAACAGGCTCTTTCCACCCTTCACGGTCCAGGCTCTTCTGATGTATCCAGCAGAAGTTTCTTGAGTACGACGTTGTCAAACTCGAGACGCTCTAGCGGTGAACGACTGACCGCCAGAACCATGCCGTCCATCCCGACAGTGGAGAAGTATCTAACTACGACGAAAATAGCTGAGCGAAGAAAATTAGACCGTGCCAGACGAAATTTTAAAGCAGCCATCCAACTAAGGTCATCTGACGTCATTTACCATTTCATAACAAGACACGACGCTGTCCCAGCCAGTGGTCGCAGCACTTAACTACGGATATTTGTCTAAAATATTGTGCTACTCTATTATTGGTCCTACCGGAAACTTAGACGGAATTACATTGGTCATTGCATCCAAAAGAGATAATACAAAAATAAATTGAAACATACTTTTTTTTATATAATTTTTTTAATTTAAAAGTTGTATAGTTCAATACAGAATTTAGGCTTCAATATTTGGCTTGTTTACAATGATACTAGATTGAGGATGGGAATACAGATTGTCATTCATACTGTCATTCACACACATCGTTTTCACTTGTCAACATACAAACACAAACTACACCAATACTGACAGAATGGTGCGGGTGATATAGGACCGCTGCATGCCCCCATACACATCAGAAACTACAGTATGTCGGAACATCTAGATATTAAATTATTGTGGTGAATGACCCAACAATTTTCTGACAGTGGTTTCCTTATTGGCTCAGCGTAAACTCAAACTGAAGTCTTAAATACACCCGCTGAGATAATCGATTGAGCTACAGCGGTAGGCTAAATTCCCAATATATTTCAATTATAAATTCTAAATGCATTGTAAGGGGCGATGGCTGAGATATGTAAATGTAACATGGCATTATCTCCCAAAAGTATATCTATCAGATAAACATTTCATTTTTGGGGAAACAGAATCCACAACCCTTTGTCTGAGGGTGTCACCCAACCTGGTCCTACCCAGCAGACCCAGACATACAGTATGAACAGACTGAGACAGGGAGACACAGAACAATGGAGGACAGAGAGAGATGAACAAGTCACAGCTGCAGCAGAGGCAGGCAATCTACAGGTCCAAGGCAGAATAAGGCGACAGCAGAATAAGGCGTTAACCACAACCAACCCTTCCCAGCTCCAATCGAACAGAATCCCCAACATTCTCCATTCATTCCAAGGGATTAGGGAACAATCGGGCAATCGGCTGTACTAAAATCATGCATGTCGTAGAAGCATGTAGTCTGAAATGTCAGATGTTCCTGTACAAAGAGAGTTCATTGATGGCTTGTCGTACAAAGTGCATATTTTCTGATCATGTCCAGTATCTACCACCATCACGCAGAAAGTGGCAGTTTATGTTTTACAGCATACATGAAGGTGCCTCATTGCAAGTAAAGTCAAATATACAAAATGCCTCCATTTAAAATGCATTGCTTGCTTTGAGGCAATTTTACTTCGTCATCCTCTGCATATCTATCGTAAAAAATATCCCACATTAGCCCTCTGTTAAATGAAGTATGTAATAAGAGTTGGGGTCATGGTATTTTACCCTTCCAACTACAACCAATCCAAAACACACAACTGATCTGCCAGCATGCAGCATTCTTTGAAAAAAAAAATAATAATATATATATATGCAATTCAAAATACCAGTACAAATTTGAGTTGGGCATTGCCTTCTACAGTACAGGTATTTACAACACACGTTGAAGCATTAGGTTGTACTGTCTGTATCAATCAGTATGGCTGGTTGTGTGTAACACCAACCAGCACAGATCAGTTTGCTTTGAGGAACAGTATATTGTGTGACCAGAGGAGAGAGGTAGTCACTATAACAGCAGACATAGCCTAGTCCCTGTGTTTACTTTCCTCAAACCTACCATGAGCCCTTTAAACAGCGATGGAGGAACTTAGGTGTCCATGTAGGGATAGCGCAAATACAATTTCCTACTAAAACCTTGTCTCTTGGCTAGGGAGAGAACTTTACCACAGCAGTGTTTTTGTTTGGGAAACTACAATGTAGTCAGTTACATACGTTATTTGGTAATATTTTACTTTTTGACTTGATTTTAAATGGAGTTAATTTGTTGAATTCCTTACTAGCCATGGGTGGAAATCTGTACCCAAAAACGTATAAAGTGCTGGATTTAAACATGGTCATTGTTAAAGCCTAGATGGTCCCATGTAGGTCCTGGATCCAGGATTAAGAGACCATATGAGAATGAAAAGTCATTAGTGGGGCGGTAGCTCTATGCTTCAACTATTGGGGTCCTTTACTGTGCATTCGGAAAGTATTCAGACCCCTTGACCTTTTCCACATTTTGTTACGTTACAGCCTTATTCTAAAATTTATTAAATAAATAAAAATCCTCACAATACCCCATAATGACAAAGCAAAAACAGGTTTTTAGAAATGTTTGCAAATGTATTTACATAAGTATTCAGACCCTTTGCTGAGACTTGAAATTGAGCTCAGGTGCATCCTGTTTCCAACTTGATTTGAGTCCACCTGTGGTAAATTCAATTGATTGGACATGATTTGGAAAGGCACACACCTGTCTATATAAAGGTCCCACAGTTGACAGTGAATGTCAGAGCAAAAACCAAGCCATGAGGTCGAAGGAATTGTCCGTAGAGCTCCGAGACAGGATTGTGTTGAGGCACAGATCTGGGGAAGGGTACCAAAACATTTCTACAGCATTGAAGGTCCCCAATAACAAAGTGGCCTCCATCATTCTTAAATGGAAGAAGTTTGGAACCACCAAGACTCTTCCTAGAGCTGGCCGCCTGGCCAAACTGAGCAATCGAGGGAGAAGGGCCTTGGTCAGGGAGGTGACCAAGAACCCGATGGTCACTCTGACAGAGCTCCAGAGTTCCTCTGTGGAGATGGGAGAACCTTCCAGAAGGACAATCATCTCTGCAGCACTCCACCAAACAGGCCTGTATGGTAGAGTGGCCAGACGGAAGTCACTCCTCAGTAAAAGGCATACGACAGCCCGCTTTGTGTTTGCCAAAAGGCACATAAAGGACTCTCAGACCATGAGAAACAAGATTCTCTGGTCTGATGTAACCAAGATTGAACTCTTTGGCCTGAATGCCAAGCGTCACGTCTGGAGGAAACCTGGCACCATCCCTACGGTGAAGCATGGTGGTGGCAGCATCATGCTGTGGGGATGTTTTTCAGCGGCAGGGACTGGGAGACTAGTCAGGATCGAGGGAACGATGAACAGAGCAAAGTACAGAGAGATCCTTGATGAAAACCTGCTCCAGAGTGCTCAGGACCTCATACTGGGGCTAAAGTTCACCTTCCAACAGAACAACGACCCTAAGCACACAGCCAAGACAACGCAGGAGTGGCTTTGGGACAAGTCTCTGAATGTCCTTGAGTGGCCCAGCCAGAGCCCGGACTTGAACCCGATCAAACATCTCTGGAGACATGAAAATTGTTGTGCAGCGATGCTCCCCATCCAACCTTCCAGAGCTTGAGAGGATCTGCAGAGAAGAACGGGAGAAACTCCCCAAATACTGGCATGCCAAGCTTGTAGCATCATACCCAAGAAGACTCAAGGCTGTAATCGCTGCCAAAGGTCCTTCAACAAAGTACTGAGTAAAGGGTCTGAATACTTATGTAAATGTGATATTTTCATTTTTTGTATTTTATACATTTGCAAAAATTTATAACAACCTGTTTTTGCTTTGTCATTATGGGGTATTGTGTGTAGATTGAAACAATTTCATCCACTTTAGAATAAGGCTGTAACGTAACAAAATGTGGAAAAAGTCAAGGGGTCTGAATACTTTCCGAATGCACACATATACATACATATATATATATACGCACACACATACATACATACATACATACATATATATATATATGCGCTTGGGGCAATAATATCTCAAAAACCTCAAAGACAATGTGCACCAAAATCTCCAACTTCAATGTTACATCAATTGGAATGTGGGGGATAGCAGATGTAATATAAATGGAAAAACATTTGTAAACCTTACCAAAATCCTTCTGTTGCCATTTTTCTTTTTAAATATACAAAAAGAAAAGAATAAGGGTACTGTCATGGTTTCTTTGGCAGTACTGTTCTGTGTTCCACAGGGACAAGGAGGAGAGGAAGGAAGGAAGGAAGAAAGAGAGAGGGAGGGCAGCTCAAGCCCTCGGACCCCTTACATCCATGTAAGTTCATAGGGTAGGAGGTGAACCTTTACCTCTAACCCCTCCTCCTGTCGATAAGGCCATTGGTGGTAGATGCATTGTTTTCGTATTAGAGGGGATCGTTCATGTCACAAGTATAGGAGAGGGGGCGGGGTCAAGCCGCTGCTGGGGGCAGTGGTCGCAGGTTGTCCAGTAGTGATTGGACAGCGGGTAGGGACAAAAGAGCCCTCCCCATGCCCCCTCCTGCACGGTAGCAGGCATATCCCAGAACTCCTATCACCCCAGCCTTCAGCACCGTGCGTAACATCCAGCCAAAACGAGACGGGGGCGCAACACTGACAGTCACACAGAAAAGCAAAAGAAAGAGGGTCAATATTAACTCATAAAAGTTAGAAGATGCCGAAATACAATGATTATACTGCTCTATAAACATTACTAATAACTTGGTCTAGACTGCTAAGAAAGACCCACTCTCACACACACACCTCATGATCTCCTGAATGTTGAGCTCCTTCTCCCAGTTCCTCTCGATGCCAGGGACGTGGCCCATTCCCACCACTCCCACCACCACAGCAGGCACTTCTGTCACAAGAAACAGAGCAAATTGATCCAGCTGAAATGGCATCCATGTTCCCAAAATACATTGGTCTGTAACAGTCCATCTATTATGCATGGATACATTAGGAGTTTGAGGTAAAACTTAATTGCCATCATAGGCAGTGTGCAAAACACAGACACAATAACCCAGCTCGGCCATCTTTCAGAGTAAGGGTCCATTCAAACTGCTCACGGAAAACTATGCCAGAAAGTAAGCCTTTTCATTGGTTTAATTGCAATCTTGCGCAGACTACAACCAATTATATGGTAGTGTTTTTCCCACGAGCAGTGTGAACAGACACTAATGGAGAAACTTTTCTGTGGACTTCCTCAGGTGTAAAGCGAAACAGGCAGAGATGCTGCGATACTCACTCTGAGCATTGGGGGGCGCCTCCACACAGTGTGCGGCCTGGCGGAGTGTGTGTGTGAGGTAGATGTCTCGCTCGGCCACAATGGTCTGGTGGAGAGCGGGGAACTCGCCGATCATCTCTAGCATTGTCTGCTCCAGCAGGTCCTTCTGTTTGCACTTCTCCACATCCTCCTTACTGACACACAACAAACATATTACAATAACAAAAGCACAACAGCATTCTATCCACTAGGTTTAACCAATTCCCCAAATTAAATCCCAATAACTTATCATTTGTATTCAGGTAAATCAATTAAGCCCTATATAAATTAAATATATTATTAAATGGGATATTACTAAATACAGTACCACAATAGTAATATTTCTGCTCTAATCTTACTACACACTAGCCAAAGGAAATACTGAGAGGAAGTGTATAGTGGAGTAAGCTGTGGACTTAATCTAGACACTAGAGAGTAGTAACTGTCAGGTTAGTGTACCTGATGGGGTCTGACAGAAAGCACAGGCCCCATGCCAGTCTGGCTTTCTGCCACAGACTGAGAGCAGCGATGGCCCGCTTGAATGTCACCGGGATGGGCCGGTCCCCCAGGTGGAACCTGCAGAAGGGCACCCGGCCCGCCTGGGTGGAGAGAAGAGAGAGGGAGGGTCTTTACATAGAACCTTACTAATACTGTACACAGTGGGTAACATGTAAGAGGGTGTTAAGTTCAGTATGTTATGCTATGTGAGATAAGAACATTAGTGTGTATTTGAAAGTATATGTGTGACCTTCACCTGACACCTTGTGCGAGAACAAACCTGTGACCCTATTTTAGTGAGTGCGTGAGTGTCTCACCTGTTTGAAGGCCTCCCTGAACTCCCCTCCAGGAGCCATGCCCAGCTGCTCTGTGATGTGAGCTGACACTTTGAGCAGCAGGATCTGCATCAGGCCAGACATCACTCCATTCTGTGATGACATAATAAAGAGGGGGAAGGACAGATGGGAGGAGAAAGAAACAGGATATTAACTTACAGTTCTGGCTTGTGTATCTGTATACATAGACTTGTCAAAGGTGTTTCACACTGTGGACCATACTGTCTTGGTGCAGAAATTGAAGTGTATTGGGATTACTGGTCATGCTCTGGAGTGGTTTGTGAACTACCTGTCAAATGGAACCCAGTGTATTAAGGCAGATGGTTGTAAATCGGACACCATAGAGAGTTGTGCCTCAAGGATACATTTTAGGTTTATTATCTACATCAACAACATTGGGAGACATATTGAGACAGTATACTACAAAGCAGGTTCAATGAGTTAGCCAGATAACTTCAATAAACAAACATAAATATATATTGATTTTCTGGATCATTAAGAAAGATAAACTTAGAGCTATTTTTGGTTGTTGAGTCAATTAGACCATGCCCATTTCATGCATATCTTTCTAAATAATGTAAAGTTATTCAATAGTATTTAGGCAAGTTAGCTGGCTAACTCGTTGATCCTGCTTTGTAGTATACCCCTCTGATGTAAATTTTTATGCAGATGACACTGTTCTTTACTCAAGTGGCAGCAGTTTGACTTTCGCTTTTCAAAAAGCTCAAACAGCTTATAACATTATAAAACAGAATCTGGGCGATTTGAAGCTTGTTCTGAATTCCTCTAAAACAAAATGCATGGTATTTTCCAATACAAAACACTATGAAAATCATGTAATTACTACCTTGGAAGGACATTCTATAGAGCAAGTGAAGATGTACAAATATCTGTGAGTTTGGGTGGATGAGAAGTTGAGCTTCACCACCCATGTAGAGAACCTTGTCAGGAAACCCAAGCTGATTATTGGGTTTTATTACCGGCACAAAGCTTGTTTTTCCTTTGCTGCTAGAAAATAGTTGATTCGTTGTACTTTTCTCTCTGTGTTGGACTATGGCGATACTATGCACAGTGCATTCAGAAAGTATTCAGACCCCTTGACTTTTTCCATATTTAGTTACGTTACAGCCTTATTCTAAAATGGATTACATTTTTAAAAATCCTTGTCAATCTACACACAATACCCCATAATGACAAAGCGAAAACAAGTTCTTAGAAATGTTTGCAAATGTATTAAAAATAAATAACAAATACCACATTTACATAAGTATTCAGATCCTTTGCTATGAGACTCGAAATTGAGCTCAGGTGCATCCTGTTTCAATTCATCATCCTTGAGATGTTTCTACAACTTGATTGGAGTCCACCTGTGGTCAATTCAATTGATTGGACATTATTTGGAAAGGCACACACCTGTCTATATAAGGTCCCACAGTTGACAGTGCATGTCAGAGCAAAAACCAAGCCATGAGGTCAAAGGAATTGCAAGTACATTTCTGCAACATTGAAGGTCCCCAAGAACACAGTGGCTTCAAACATTATTAAATGGAAGAAGTTAAGAACCACCAAGACTCTTCCTAGAGCTGGCCGCCCGGCCAAACTGAGCAATCGAGGGAGAAGGGCTTTGATCCGGGAGGTGACCAAGAATCCAGAGTTCCTCTGTGGAGATGGGAGAACTTTCCAGAAGGACAACCATCTCTGCAGCACTCCACCAATCAGGCCTTTATGGTAGACTGGCCAGACGGAAGCCACTCTTCAGTAAAAAGGCACATGACAGCCCGCTTGGAGTTTGCCAAAAGGCACCTAAAGGACTCTGACCAAGCTTGTAGCATCATACCTGTAATTATGTCATGTCATAGTATTGTGTGGACCAGGGAAGAGTTACTAGATAAGTGGTTTGGGGCCATGGAGTCTATATTCCTTATGTCAAAGGAGATTAGTGATGTTTAGGATAGCATGATGGATGGACAGGATATACTGACTTGGGGCAAAGGGTAATAGCAACAGAGAAAGGGAGTGCCCATGATGGTTGCCAGATGTATGTGAAAGGAAGGATAACCAAGAGTATAAAAGCTGTGAGATTTGTGTGTGTGGGCAGTTCAACTGACAATGGGGGCAAGGCTATGTCCGTTTGTTAGATGAACCCACGAGCTCGTGATCAAATAAATACTTGGTAAAATCTCCACAGAATGTCTAAGTAAATTCTTGCATCCTCACTTCTCAATACTAGAAACTCATCATAACAATACCCAAGAAGACACAAGGCTGTAATCGCTGCCAAAGGTACTTCAACAAAGTACTGAGTAAAGGGTCTGAATACTTATGTAAATGTGATATTTCCATTTTTTGTATTTTATAAATTTGCCAACATTTATAAAAAACTGTTTTTGCTTTGTCATTATGGGGTATTGCGTGTAGATTGATGAGGGGGAAAAAAAACAATTTAATCCACTTTAGAATAAGGTACTGAGTAAAGGGTCTGAATACACATGTAAATGTGATATTTCCTTTTTTTTTTTTTATATACATTTGCAAAAAGTTCTAAAAACCTGTTTTTTGTAATCCATTTTAGAATAAGCCTGTAACGTAACAAATTATGGAAAAAGTAATGGGTTCTGAATACTTTCCGAATGCACTGTGTCCCATAGTCGTACCTGTTTGATGGCCTGCTGGACCTTGTCCAGATTAATGTCCTTGGCCTCCTTCAGCAGCGTCTTCTCGTCCATCTTCAGCATGGACACCCTGTACTGGCACAGCTCCACCACCACAACGTCTGGCTGCACTGCACGGATCGTCTGAGGGAGGGAAGAGAGGGGGGAGAAGAAGGCAAGCAAGGGGGACAGGGGAGAAAGGGGGAGGAGAGAGTGGGAGGATAAGGAGAGGAGGAAAACAGGGAAAGGGGGTAGAGGGAGAGGACAGGAAGGGGAGAGCGGGGAGAAAGGGCGGTCAGAGAGAGAGAAAGCCAAAGGCAGAAGTACAGTGGGGAAAAAAAGTATTTAGTCAGCCACCAATTGTGCAAGTTCTCCCACTTAAAAAGATGAGAGAGGCCTGTAATTTTCATCATAGGTACACGTCAACTATGACAGACAAAATGAGAAAATTAAATCCAGAAAATCACATTGTAGGATTTTTTATGAATTTATTTGCAAATTATGGTGGAAAATAAGTATTTGGTCAATAACAAAAGTTTCTCAATACTTTGTTATATACCCATTTGTTGGCAATGACACAGGTCAAACGTTTTCTGTAAGTCTTCACAAGGTTTTCACACACTGTTGCTGGTATTTTGGCCCATTCCTCCATGCAGATCTCCTCTAGAGCAGTGATGTTTTGGGGCTGTCGCTGGGCAACACAGACTTTCAACTCCCTCCAAAGATTTTCTATGGGGTTGAGATCTGGAGACTGGCTAGGCCACTCCAGGACCTTGAAATGCTTCTTACGAAGCCACTCCTTCGTTGCCCGGGCGGTGTGTTTGGGATCATTGTCATGCTGAAAGACCCAGCCACGTTTCATCTTCAATGCCCTTGCTGATGGAAGGAGGTTTTCACTCAAAATCTCACGATACATGGCCCCATTCATTCTTTCCTTTACACGGATCAGTCGTCCTGGTCCCTTTGCAGAAAAACAGCCCCAAAGCATGATGTTTCCACCCCAATGTTTCACAGTAGGTATGGTGTTCTTTGGATGCAACTCAGCATTCTTTGTCCTCCAAACACGACGAGTTGAGTTTTTACCAAAAAGTTATATTTTGGTTTCATCTGACATTCTCCCAATCCTCTTCTGGATCATCCAAATGCACTCTAGCAAACTTCAGACGGGCCTGGACATGTACTGGCTTAAGCAGGGGGACACGTCTGGCACTGCAGGATTTGAGTCCCTGGCGGCGTAGTGTGTTACTGATGGTAGGCTTTGTTACTTTGGTCCCAGCTCTCTGCAGGTCATTCACTAGGTCCCCCCGTGTGGTTCTGGGATTTTTGCTCACCGTTCTTGTGATCATTTTGACCCCACGGGGTGAGATCTTGCGTGGAGCCCCAGATCGAGGGAGATTATCAGTGGTCTTGTATGTCTTCCATTTCCTAATAATTGCTCCCACCGTTGATTTCTTCAAACTAAGCTGCTTACCTATTGCAGATTCAGTCTTCCCAGCCTGGTGCAGGACTACAATTTTGTTTCTGGTGTCCTTTGACAGCTCTTTGGTCTTGGCCATAGTGGAGTTTGGAGTGTGACTGTTTGAGGTTGTGGACAGGTGTCTTTTATACTGATAACAAGTTCAAACAGGTGCCATTAATACAGGTAACGAGTGGAGGACAGAGGAGCCTCTTAAAGAAGAAGTTACAGGTCTGTGAGAGCCAGAAATCTTGCTTGTTTGTAGGTGACCAAATACTTATTTTCCACCATAATTTGCAAATAAATTCATTAAAAATCCTACAATGTGATTTTCTGGATTTTTTTTTCTCATTTTGTCTGTCATAGTTGACGTGTACCTATGATGAAAATTACAAGCCTCTCATCTTTTTAAGTGGGAGAACTTGCACAATTGGTGGCTGACTAAATACTTTTTTTCCCCACTGTACAAGACTGACAATAGAATGGATTTCGCTGAACGAACTCAAGAGGCCAATCCAGGAGATATAGACCCATGACAATCATTTAAGGCCGGTTTCCCAGACACAGATTATACGCCTCGTTCAAAAATGTATTTGAATGGAGATTCCTCATTCAGAATACTTTTTAGTAACTGGCTAGGTTAATCTGTGTCAAGGAAAAAAAACCTTAATGCTTGCATGTCAGATTTGTTGTGCTCACCGTGGCCACGTCCTTCTTGCTGCTGTCACTGAAGTGGGCGGTGCCTACCAAGTAGAGCAGGCTGCCGTCTGGGGCAGTCAGCCGGGTGACTGTCTCAGGGAGTTCTGGGGAGGACTGGCGCCGCTGGGCACGCACCTGCCATAGCAGCTCCACCGCCTCAGAGTCCGCTATGGAGGAACCAGCCAGGGAGAGGTGGAAGGGGAGGGGGAGAGAAATAGAGCAAGTAAGAGAGAAAGAGAAAAACAAGAATGGAAAGAACCTTTAGTTCCTGCATCACTGAATTGGATGGCAGGAAAGACAACATACTTCGATATGCCAAAGGAAAGTGATAGTCAGATTTGGGTAGGGTACATGTTGTAGCCTACTGAAATAAAGATCACAAACAAGTTAGAACAGTAAAGGACAGTTCCCCTTTTTCTCTCACATGGGCATTGTGAAACAATATGAGCTTTTGGTGACAAGCAGAGGGAGAGGACAGGAAATAGATTTTAGGTAAATAAGGGCGCTCACAGAGTCCAGGGGGACGACTAGGCAGTGACTCATCTTCAGACGCATCTTCAGAGGGACCTACCAACTCATCCTAAAAAAAAAGTCAAAAAGCATATGTAGTCATTAAGTCAGATATAGTAATTCTAAAACTTTAAATGTCTACACATTTTTTGGTCAATGTGCTCAAGGGCTTAGTAGACAGATTTATTGCGACACTGATTCTTAGGCGATTAATATCTAGGCTAAGTACAAGAGCAGGACAAAATTCTAAGAATGTTTGTTTGTTTTGCCTAATGTATTATGATCAGCATAGAGCTGTGTACTTCAAAGATCACAGCTGTATGGACCATAACAGACGTGTGTGAAGCTGTACTCTGTGTGCCTTTTTTAAATTATCAAAATAACAGCTGTCAAAGCATTATGCAGTGAGCCATGTCCAGCAGTCCCCAAACTGACCTCTGAGTTGTTGTCTTGGTCCATTATTTAACCTTTGAGAGCTGGGCAAAAACTAAAGCGATGTCTCACTCTCCTTACTGAAATGGAAAGCAAAACAGGAGGAAAGAGTATGGTCAAATGTATTAATGCATTTAGCCAAATTCATCAAGTAGGTTTGTTGACCATAATTGCTTTTCTCTGCAATGCTGTCAGCTGTGTTGCTTATTTTGTGACTTAGCTAAAGCCCCAGGCCCCAGTTCAAGTTCCCCAATTGCTGACGTTTGCTAGCTAGATAACGTTATATGTGCAGTCTACCAAACCATAAACAAACAACCCATTCTCACTAGTTACTAGCTAGCTACCATCAACATGTATGGCGACATAGTTGGAAAATAAAACCGGTTAGCTAACGTTACCTGTCACAGGTAGCTAATTCTAGTAGCTAAGACAATTTGTGAGACAGGTTTTACTGTGACAGTAACGTTATAGTATATAGCCAAATATCATGAGCAAACTGCCTAACGTTAGCTTAGTGGTCCCTTTTTAGAGCCCGGTCTTGGCTAAACGCTCTCCTGCTACATGTAGCTGCGTACTTCAACACGATTACATCATCTCCACACAAGTGTGTTGACATAGCTAGCTAGCTATCTTGCTAGTTAGCTAACCACATGCTACCAAGTCACGTTAGCTAGCTAGCTAAAGCTGTCAAACCTGCTAGCTAGAGACAAAAATGGACACGCTTAGCTAACATTCCCTACGTTTCCACATATTATCTAGCTAGCTAGCCAAACTAGCTAATTAGCTAACATTATTCATTAAGTTAGCTAATGTTAGCAAGTTGGCCCAAATTAGATAGCTTACTGCTCAACGACTAGCTAGCTGACTGTTAGCTAGCTAGCTAACTAACAGCTGGCATATCGGTTAGTTGGCTAACTGCTGCTAACTACTTGGTAAACAAGGTTATATCAATGTGTAATCAAAATATAATAACTACAGTTTACAATGTTATATGTTAATACAATAAATACAAAATAAAACTTACAAGCTAACCAACCTGTGCTCTCACCTGCAATTCGACCAATGTCAATGATGTGTTCGACTCGTCCGTTAACGTTGTCTTCTGGTACTTGTAGTTCAATTGAGATTTGAGTGCGTTGTGGCAATATGGATTTGTAGTTCTTATAATTTTGTTGTGTAAACTAAAGGCCATATAATTATATTTCTATGCATATGCTATTAATTACAGAAACATTTATACAAAGAACTCTTGTTCAAATTTTATTTTAACAAAAAAAGTTTATTACTCAGACTACATCATACAGTCACAGACAACTTTTGACTCCATCACCAGAAACACCACCCACCTTGCCTCAAGAAGTAGTGGGATCAAGTTGCACTGATTTGAAGTCAGTTTTGTGTCTTTCCCCTGTTTTTCTGGGACTAGGATTTGGGGTGGATAGACTGTTGATAGATCTGTGCCCAAGGGCATCTACCCAGACAAAGCCTCCAGGAACAAAACAGTTTCTTTCCCCAATCTGAGGTCCCCAGAAAAAGTGTGAGGAGGAGCACTGCTCTATCAACATGCTCACACTCATAAACTTGTGCTACATATTTAAAGTGCCTTTGAATGCATTAGTGTGCTGAGTACATCAAGGGGATAGTGCGCCACAGGTCATGAAATTAATGTAATGTTTGTAATTTCTTATTAGGTAGACTACCCAGGCAGGTAGTTTCCCAAACCATGTATTTAGTGCATTTTAGACTGTGAACATAACAACACATCTATCTCATTGGAAAGTCAACTTTGCATTGTCACAAACCGTGTTAGCACAACATTTGTATTATAAGTGTTCTAAGCCTTCTTCTCGTCACATACCAGTGAGATAGTAATATTATAAGGTTTCTAATCCTTTTTACATGCACATCATATGGCCCTTTTATACAAAGACATGTTTTATTGCCCAAGATGAAAGATTCACAGCATAGAGGAATCCTCAGATGTTCATTCAGAATACATGCGTGCTGTAGATTGTTCTGCAATCACTGTTCAGTTTAGGTTACCAATTGCTCAGACATACGGTTGATCGTGGTTGCTACACATATCCCCTTGTTTACTGCATCATACCTGGTGAAAGGTGCTATTATATCCTAATAACAATTCTACTAACTACAGTACTCTAGTTTTCATTCGTTAATTTCAGGGGGCATTGTCTTTGGTGAGTAATGAGACACCACAATAACCAAGTGTTACTGATGTGGCATTGGACATGGGGTGCTGTTGTTGCTCTCAATGTGGTGGCACGTGGCAACGTAGGCCTATGTTGAAAAGGTAGGACAGTCAAAAGCAAAGCATTCAGATGCTGTACATTTTATTGTGTACAATGCTTTCTACATCTACGTATCACTTCACCTATTCTTCATAACTTCCACGAGAAGAGCTGGGGATGACTGCAATGTCCAGCACTCTCCCCGAATGAGTCCAGGTTTCAGTTGAAATGCAGTGATGGCGTAAAGACCACTGCACCTTGAAAGCTCATCAGTTCAGAGTAACTATCAGAGTCATCAGGGCACATAGGGACAATTACCTTGCCTGGATCATCATCGTCATAAAAACAGTCACTTCCACTGACATTGAGAGGTGGAAGGTTTGGAAAACATTTCGTAGATCCATAGCAAGGAGGTTTTAACTTGAATGTTGGCAATAATGCATATGCTTGCCTATATTAATTAAAGTGAAGGTGTTTCTGAATTTGACATTTTTGTTTACACATGAAAATCCATCCTATGACTTCCCTAGTGAATGGATCAGCCAACCTCACCTAATAAGTGCACTAGTGGTGTGAGAGGAACCCATTAAAGGTGCAATCTGTAACTTTCATTCCCAGTCCAAAGTACTGCCTGTGCACTTGTTTGTAAACTAAAGAGGAACTTAAACGAATGCAACCATTTGTTTTTTGTTTTGCTTCTGGGCTAAATGTGCAACTGGTAAAACGTAAGTTGCATATTGCACCTTTAAGGAGCCCAATCCTTTATAAGGTAGGTGCATTCTCACTTTGCCTCTCTCTGTCTTCTGTGTGGTCAAATGACACTGATTAACTAATGGAACATTTATGTGTGAAGCACACCACAACAACCAAGATAGGGCTACATACAGTCTACAGATGATTTATGGTATGTAAAATGTTTTACAACTTATGCGCGTATATATTATTGCCACAAACAACATTATGTGATCTTTTGCATATATTGCAGTGCAGATTTTAAAAGAGTGTATTGCATTGGCTTTCAGTATACTTGTCTAGAGGGACAATAAGCAATAATATGAATGTTTTATAAACATGTTCTCATTTACATTTCTTTTACATTTTAGTCATTTAGCAGACGCTCTTATCCAGAGCGACTTACAGTTAGTGAGTGCATACATTTTTCATACTGTAGCTGTTGGTGAAGCAGTCTTTATGAAATTCTATACTGAACAAAAATATAAACGCAACATGTAAAGTGTTGGTCCCATGTTTCATGAGCTGAAATAAAAGTTAGCATAATTTTTCCATACGCACAAAAAGCTTATTTCTCTCAAATTTTGTGCACAAATTTGTTTACATCACTGTTAGTGAACATTTCTTCTTTGCCAAGATAATCCATCCACCTGACAGGTGTGGCATATCAAGAAGCTGATTAAACAGTATGATCATTACACAGGTGCACCTTGTGCTGGGGACAATAAAAGGCCACTCTAAAATATGCAGTTTTGTCACACAACACAATGCCACAGATGTCTCAAGATTTGAGGGAGCGTGCAATTGGCATGCTGACTGCAGGAATGTCCACCAGAGCTGTTGCCAGAGAATTGAATGTTCATTTCTCTACCATAAGCCGCCTCCAACCTTGTTTTAGAGAATTTGGCAGTACGTCCAATTGGCCTCACAACTGCAGACCACGCGTAACCACGCAAGCCCGGGACCTCCACATCCGGCTTCTTCACCTGTGGGATCATCTGAAACCTGCCACCCGGACAGCTGATGAAACTGAGGAGTATTTCTGTATTTAATAAAGCCCTTTTGTGGGGAAAAACTCATTCTGATTGGCTGGGCCTGGCTCCCCAGTGAGTCGGCCTGGCTCCCAAGTCCGTGGGCGTGGCCCTGCCCAGTCATGTGAAATCAATAGATTAGGGCCTAATTTATTTATTTCAATTGACTGATTTCCTTATGAACTGTAACTCAGTAAAATCATTGAAATTGTTGCATGTTGCGTTTATATTTTTGTTCAGTGCATTCAGACCGCTTTACTTTTTCCACATTTTGTTACGTTACAGCCTTCTTCTAAAATGTATTACTTTTTTTTTTCTTATCAATCTACATACAATACCCCATAATGATGAAGCAAAAACAGGTTTTTAGACATTTTTTCCTATTTATTTCCAATTTGAAACAGAAATATATTATTTATATAAGTATTCAGACCCTTTGCTATGAGGCTCGAAATTGAGCACAGGTGCATCCTGTTTCCATTGATGTTTCTACAACTTGATTGGAGTCCACCTGTGGTAAATTCAATTGATTGGACATGATTTGGAAAGGCACACACCTGTTTATATAAGGTCCCACAGTTGACAGTGCATGTCAGAACAAAACACCAAGCCATTAGGGCATAGGAATTGTCCGTAGAGCTCACAGACAGGATTGTGTCGATGCACAGATCTGGGGAAGGGTACCAAAACATTTCTGTAGCATTGAAGGTCCCCAAGAACACAGTGATTCTTAAATGGAAGAAGTTTGGAACCACCAAGACTCTTCACAGAGCTGGCCGCAAGGCCAAACTGAGCAATCGGGGGAGAAGGGCCTTGTTAGGGATGTGACCAAGAACCCAATGGTCACTCTGACAGAGCGCCAGAGTTCCCCTGTGGAGATGGGAGAAACTTCCAGAAGGACAACCATATTTGCAGCACTCCACCAATCAGGCCTTTATGGTAGAGTGGCCAGACGGAAGCTTCTCCTCAGTAAAAGGCACATGACAGCCCGCTTGGAGTTTGCCAAAAGGCACCTAAAGGACTCTCAGACCATGAGAAACAAGATTCTCTGGACTGGTGAAACCAAGATTGAACTCTTTGGCCTCAATGCCAAGCGTCACGTCTGGAGGAAACCTGGCACCATCCCTACGGTGAAGCATGGTGGTGGCAGCATCATGCTGTGGCAGGGACTGGGAGACTAGTCAGGATCGAGGGAAAGATGAACGGAGCAAAGTACAGAGAGATCCTTGATGAACCCTGCTCCAGAGTGCTCAGGACCTCAGACTGGGGTGAAGGTTCACCTTACAACAGAACAATGACCCTAAGCACACAGCCAAGACAACGCAGGAGTGGTTTTGGGACAAGTTTCTGAATGTCCTTGAGTGGCCCAGCCAGAGCCCGGACTTGAACCCGATCGAACATCTCTGGAGAGACCTGAAAATAGCTCCCCATCCGATCTGGAAGAGCTTGAGAGGATCTGCAGAGAAGAATGAGAGAAACTACCCAAATATAGGTGTGCCAAGCTTGTAGCGTCATCCCCAAGAAGACTCGAGGCTGTTATCTCTGCCAAAGGTGCGTCAACAAAGTACTGAGTAAAGGGTCTGAATACTTATGTAAATGTGATATTTCTGTTTGTTTTTTTATACATTTGCAAACATTTACAAAAACCTGTTTTTGCTTTGTCATTATGGGGTATTGTGTGTAGATTGATGAGGGGGAAAATCTATTTAATCCATTTTAGAATAAGGCTGTAACATAACAAAATGTGGAAAAAGTCAAGGGGTCTCAATACTTTCCGAATGCACTGTAGATGGTATTTTCTAAAATGTGTTTAAAAAGCTTCAAACTGTATGTCTTCCCTATTCTTTTTCATTAAGAGCTGCTTCCTCTCCAAGTCAACAACATGAGCAACAAATGCTCCATTCAACTGTGCAGGATCTACAAAGGTAGTGCTCCTGTCTGCATTTCAGTGAAGTCTTCTTGCTGCCCCACCCTGGACAAATCAAGTGTGGAGAGAATAAGAGCAGTCAGATGACTATGGGTAGATCAGAACACATTGAACCACTCCTATGCTCCATCTTGTTAAATCTTCATCACTCCAGCTACAAATTCTGGTTCAGCACCATCAGCACTTTCACTCAGTGCCTTCACCAGAGGAGTAGTGAGGTATGAGCACAGCATAACTGTGTGGTCAGAGGGACAAGGTGGCTTTAGGCAGACAGTGCTTGGCATGTGGAGGCATGGTAGTGGTGAGTGACATACATGTTGCTGTGTTGGGTTACATATTTCGAGGCGGGACGTGTGTGTCTTCTCCTCAGCACTCCCCAGCAGAGATCAGTTCCCCCCCGGGTCTCTCAGCTAGTCTGCCCCCCTGTCCTCTAGCCTCCTCTTCCTCCATACTGAGTAGCTGGTGCATACTGAGCAGCTGGTGGGAAGGGATCCGAGTGAAAACTGCAGGCTGGGCATCTTCAGGCTCCTCTTGCTCGATCAGGGGCTCTGTAAGGTGGCGGTCAGCGAGGAAGGGTGGGTTGGGGCTGGGAGTGGCACCGTTCATATAGGTGCTGGTGGGGACGGTCATTGTAGAGAAGACTGTGTTGGTGGACTCTGGAGTGCGACCTTTCTTTTCTAAAGAGAGAGAGAGAGAGAAAACAGAACAGTACACAGGCCCAGACTTTTTCCAGACCACATGACCTAACCCGGAAAAAACTTTAGACCCTAGTTATAGCCTACTTCTACACTCTTAGAAAAAAAAGGTGTGATCTAGAACCTAAAATGGTTATTCAGCTGTCCCCATAGGAGAACCCTTTGAAGAACCCTTTTGGTTCCAGGTAAAAAAAAAAAAGGTTTCAATCTGGAACCTAAAAGGGTTCTCCTATGGGGGACAGCCAAGGAACCCTTTTGGAACACTTTTTTCTAAGAGTAGCCCAGGGATCATCAACTAGATTCAGCCGTGGCCCAATTTTTTCGTAAGCTGATGGTCGGGGGCCAGAACATAATTACATTTGTAGACTGCAAATTGACCACAAGAAGCCCAATCAGATATAATGTTTGACTAAAACATAATCATTTCAAACCTTGCTTACATTTGTATACGATCATTTTTGTCTCTATTATGCGTGGGAATACTTGGGAACAGATTTCTTTAATTAAAATCACTGATTTCCTGGTCTTTTATGTCCAACAATGAAAATTCTGCACACAATTATTATTTATTATTATTTATTTGCATTAAGTTAAGCATTCTGTTAGAGTGGGCTATTTTTCATATTTTTCTCCTTGATCTAAAATGTCAACAAGAATCAGGGGACACATTGTCACGCCCTGGCTCTGGGGACTCTTAAATGTTGAGCCAGGGTGTGTATATTTCGTGTTGTGTTTATTTCTATGTTTAGTTTCTAGATCGTTTAGATCTTTGTTGGCCAGGGTGGTTCCCAATCAGAGGCAGCTGTAGCTCGTTGTCTCTGATTGGGGACCATACTTAGGCAGCCTTTTGGCACCAGTCAGTGGTGGGATCTTGTTCCGGATAGGTATGTTATTTAGTCTACCTAGGACTTCACGTATCGTTTGTTTGTTGTTTTGTCGTGTGTTAAGTACGTTAAATAAATATGTACGCTTATCACGCTGCGCCTTGGTCCGTCTCGTACGTAAACGATCGTGACACACATTTACATTTATATTTTAGTCATTTAGCAGACGCTTTTATCCAGACACATAAGTAAATATAGAATATGGTTTGGTTGCCTTGGTGACAGATCCCTCCTGAGATTGGGCATGGCAATCTTACCTGTGATAGAAGCGGAGACATGGACGATGGTGTGGGTGCCCTCGATGAACACCGCGTCCAGGGTGTGGTCTGGTGGCAGAGGCTCTGTGCTGACTGTCTCTACTTTGGTGGGCTTACGGATGGTCAGCATGTACGGGTGGACATCCAGGGAAAAGTTGCGACTATGCTTTTTCTCCATTGTGCTCATATCTGCAGTCGGCATTCAACAGATATGGTCAGCGGAGATAGAACACAACAGCAGGACCGAATAGTGCACACGTTGCACAACTTTATGTATAGCATGTGACATTCCAGAAGCACCTTTCTATGCAAAACCAGAGGTAAAAGCAGTTTTAGTCAAATATCCAAAATATAGTATTTTAGCAAAATTCTGAGTAACCATAAACGTTACCTTCCATTACCCTAATTTTCTACAGTAATGTCACTGCTCTCAGTACAGTACCTTTAGCAGAGTACTGTGTGCTCTTGCTTAAAGGAGCGACGTAGTTCTCTGCCACTGTTTTCCTCCTCACCGGTTTGGGCTTCTCAGGCTTAATGCTGTTCTCCAAACGCGTCATTGTCAGAGGTTCCTTCACAATGGACATGGACAGTTAGTAGAATTAGATTATTAAAGGGATAGTTCACTTTTTTGAAGTTTTCTTTACCTAAGGTTTTTCCAACTTAGTAAGGGTTACCTCGGGTTTTAACAAATTTAAAAACGGTTTGGATGAAACGACATCACCCTAATTAATGTGCAAAAAAGCTCAAACTTAAAAAGTGAACGATCCCTTTAACGGATATAACATTGTTAGATATGATTGAAATAGGTCCTCTGCCTTTAGAGATTGAATAAATTGAATAAACTCTGTGCTATCTCTTGCTGAGAGCCTCATTTCTCTATGGGCCTTTCAATCAGAAAAGGCCCATGTCAAGTCTTCTCAATAAACGCTGATATGAATATTGCTGATATTGCTCTTGTCCACTGAGTACAACCCACTGTACAGTAAGTGGTGCTTTGGTTTTTCAGCACAGTGGGTGAAGACTATTTTACTGCTTATATTAATTTACATGATTATCCTCAGGTATTAACCTGAAGGAAATCCACAGGTGTCTTGAGGCCGAGCAAGTGACAAGATGAATCAAGATAATTTGGGTCTAAAATCTGGAATCTCATTTTTTTCATGTGGTGGTAATTAGTCATAACATAAATAGACTTACTAGGTGTAATTTACCTTTAGACAAACATATGTCATTTCCAGCCCATTATAAGTGGCCAAAATATGCAGACCTTTGACAGGCAACATTTAGGCCTAGTGTATGGGGTCCTACCTTAAAGGGCTGGGGAAGAGGGTTGGAGCTGGGGATCCACTTCATCTTCTTGCGTGGTCGTTTGATGACCAGCGGCTCCCCTCCCAGCTCCCCTACCCCCAGGAGAGAGGGGTCCATATTGGGGTCTAGGGTCTGAATGCCTGAGTCCCTCACAGTGGGCGTGACATCTTGGTTAGACTGGGCCAGGGCGGCCAGCAGCTGCCTCACCACGTTGTCATACATGAGGTCGCTCTCGTTGGTGATGAAGTCCAGGCGGTTGAGTGACTTGATGTGGTCACGGTTCTCGTTACAGAACATGGCCAGAATGTTGATGTCGCAGAACTGGGACTTCTGCCAGCGCCTCCGCGTCTTGATGCCCACCTTGTGCAGTTTGTCGAACACAAAGTTGGACTTGCGCACCACAAACAGGTGCAACAGGTTGACCAGGATGACGAGGTTCATGGTGCTCAGCAGGGCGATGTCCACGGCGGCCATGATGCGCTGCAGCTGCACGGCCGGCAGTTTGCAGTTGACGCTGAGCCTCAGCTCTGGGATGCTGCTGGAGTCTGGAGGCTCCCCCAGGGCACAGCTGAACTCGTTCTGGCGCTGGCGGTGCCAGTAGGCGCTCAAGTAGGAGATGGGGATGGAGCTGAGGCAGATGATGGCCAGGTGGCGCCCCAGGTACAGCTTGGCCAGGAAGTTGCTCTGGCCTCGTCTCTCCAGGTACTTCTCAAACAGGTTCTGCTCGGGGCTCTTCTCTTTCTCCGCGTTCTCGATGATCTCGCGTCTCTCTTTCTCAGTGATACCCGGTCCTTTGGACTGGATCTGCTTCTCAATTTTAGGGGCCCGGCCCTCGGCCGCCCGGTGGTAGCAGTTGTCGATCTCGTGAAGCAGAAAGTTGAGCTCGGAGGTAAGTCTTGTGGAGGCCATGAACTCCCAGCCCAGAGCAGGGATGTACATGATGCCAGCAAAGGCCAGCAGGGCGTAGGGCAGGAACTTGTGCTCGAACAGCGAAGGTCGAAGTTCAGGCTCCACCCCGGGCACGGCGTCATGCAGCTCTGTCCAGCAGTAGCCTCGCGCGTACAGGGCCTGGTCACGGGTGAAGTTGTGAGGCGTGTAGCAGTAGATCGACTCCTCTGAGAGGGAAAATATGGAGAGAATTAGTCGTCATAATGAGACAATACAACATGACTGATGGTTATGTACGTTTGTAATCTCTTTATAGTAAGTGAATGAAATGAATAAAGATTAGTTAAATTGAACTGTCAAACTTTTTACAGTCAGTCCTTATAATAATAATGTTCATTCTATAGATGTTTCCTATGTGGGGGAAAATACCATTGATCCATTTCATCCATATGTCTGAAGAGCTCTTAGGTTTCATTCATCTCTAGACAAGGACTACCTTGTTCATCTGATACCGATAGTGCTGATTCATGGTATAAAACCGAATGCAGAGGAGAATGAGGAGGAGGCACTTCAAGCGACACTTGTATTCCATCCACTCTTTCCCTGTTATGCTGAGCACGGTAGCAGCAAGGCCATTTGGCTGTCGACTGCCAAGGTCTGGATGGTTCAGGGGCAGATCTGTCCCTGAGGTGTTGGACCGAGCATGAGAACATTGCACACTGACTGCAGAGCGCTGAGTCAGGTGGCTGGGGGACGGGTACTGTGTCTGGGAAAAGGCTGTTTTTGAGGCTTGAGAAAGTTTATTTTATTGTTCTTTATTGTTCTTCTACTTATTTTAGGAGAGTTCAATCCACCAGAATGTGTACAATTTGAGGGCACTAACCAAGGACATCAATACAATAAGAATTCCATTGTACTTAAATGTAAGATAGTGCACATTGCACTGCTGTCATCGGTTGCTGCCATGGCACTTCAGAGGTTTAATCTAATGAGTCACATGGGTAACCCATGTTTTTGAGTTTTGGGGAGGAGCAGTGCAGAAAATGCAGAAATGGGCTCCCACCCTCCAATCCCATCCTATCCCGGATGGTCCTGCCCGCCCAGCGCTAAGTGAAATGCTCAATCACAGCTGGTTGGTGTTGCTATGCAGACAGCCTGACTCAGCATTGAGCTACCCCCACCCCCCCCCACCTTCCTCTCCTCTCCCTCTCCTTTCACCAGAGTGGCCCAGCCTAATGTCTGCACTGATCTTTCTCACATCAAACACCAAATACACTGCATACTTAACCCTCAACTCCCCAGATCTCTCTAAAAATTAACATAGAGCACCATAACATCCTGCTATGTTAGACATTCTGAATGCCAATGTTGTTGGGGCTTTGTCTGTGAGAGCAACCTTTGTTGTTGTTTTTTCAATATACCAATGTCATATTATAAATAACATAAAGCTACTACAGCTGACTACTTCAGTATCTGTGCTGTGTTCTGGTTCAGTGTTAAGTGATGAGACAACAACAACACATTAGGACAGAAAGTTCCCTTCCCAGCCTGCTGTGTGTGCTTGGTGTTTACAGCAACAGCACGGCACTGTCACAGTCCCCTCTACTGGCACTCTGCCAGACCTGGGTTCAAAAACTATTCTAAATCTTTTAAATACTATTAGCGTTTGCTCTGGTCTGCCTGCTGTGCCAAATGGGTGGGGTTTGCAGGTTTGCAACTATTCTACTGGTTCAATTACCCCAGACAAGGTCAATCAAGCATAGTATTTCAAATTATTTCAAATAGTATTTGAACCCAGATCTGCCGTCTGGCCGACCCACTGACCTGCAAAGTTCCTTGTGAAGACGAGGGTGACAAGCAGGATGGGGATAATGACGGTGCCGATGGTGACGACGCGGTCAAATGGTAGCTCTAGTTTGAGCTGGACCATGAGGCCGGCCAGCATGCCTCCCTTCTCATCCTGGGAAGAGCCAGGCAGAATCAACTCCTTCAGCTTCTCCCCCGCCAGCAGAGCCGTGGCCATGTCTAAGTTCTGCTCGAGGATGTTCTGCATCCGGCCTGAGAAGACAACAGGCTCCTCCTCCTCCTAGCTACCTCCACCCACTCACACACACTGGGCTACTTCCACACACACAGGACTGGCTGTCTCCGGGCCAGACCTGGTTATGTGGCTATGTAAAGTCAGTAATGGCTGGGTCTTGATGGACAGTCTCTTGGGTGTCTTGGGATCTTCACTGACTGTGAGTGGGACGTCCCGCCTTCTGCCCCCTCCTCCTAGCTACCTTTACTCACACTGTCACCACTCACACAGGACTGGCAGTCTCAAGGCCGGACCTGGTCACGTGGCGGCGCCAGGAACAGCTGGGTTTTTGATGGACAGTCTTGGGTATGTTCACTGACTGTCTCTTCCCACATTGAGAAAGGGCGTTAAGTTCAGTCAGTGGTTTACAGTGTGTTCCAGTTGTGCTGTGTACATTCTGTGCTTTTGTCCTCTCTCACCTTTACCTGGCCTCAGGTTGAAGAGAGGATATATGATCTTTCTCTCAGTTCTCAAAGAGTGTGGTTCCTGGCGGATGAGTTTGTAAGTTTGTACTGTATGCCCAGATCAACAGGGATACCTCATGTCCTTCCTCCTGCGAAAGACAGATTGGCAATTAGTTTAATTTAAACATTCAAAATGTTGGCCTTTTTATCTCAAAAAGAGACTGAAAAAATAAAACACAAAAACACAAGCTTAGTGAACATTAAAAAGAGTTGAAGTAAGTTATCTGGTTAGGTACCGCTTGCCGTGCGGTGGCAGAGAGAACAGTCTATGGCCTGGGTGGCTAGAGGCTTTAACAATTTTCCGGGCCTTCCTTTCACACCGCCTGATATAGAGGTCCTGGATGGCAGGGAGCTCTGCCCAAGTGATGTACTGGGCTGTCCGTACCACCCTCTGTAGCGCCATGCGATTGAGGGCGGTGCTGTTGCCATACCAAGCAGTGATGCAGCCAGTCAAGACGATCTCAATCGTGCAGCTGTAGACCTTTTGAGGATTTGAAAAAAGTAATCTGAAGGGCGAAGTCACCCTCTCTGATGAGAAAGAGGACCTTGGAAAGCCTTACAAAGCTTGTCTGCACCAATGAGTACAAGGGCATGCGATTATTCACAAACGTGTTACAAAAAAAGGATTTGGTTCCTGGCTGAGTCAATCAATATTATCAGATTCCGATTTATATCAGTGATGTTATTGTTAGTCATATGACATATGCTCATGTTCTGCTCATTCAGTGTGACAGCAGAGAGAGCATGCCCCCATCCACATCGAGGGGGCCGCATTGGACAGGGTCAAAAGCTTAAATGACAACCTGAAATGGTTCCTTCACACAGACAGTGTGGTGAAGAAGGTGCAGAAGCGCCTCTTCAACCTCAGGAGGCTGAAGAAATTCAGCTTGGCCCCTAAGACCCTCACAAACTTCTACAGATGCACCACTGAGAGCATCCTGTCGGGCTGCATCACCGCTTGGTACTGCAATTGCACCGTCTGCAACCGCAGGGCTCTCCAAAAGGTGATGTGGTCAGCCCAACGCATCACTGGGGGCACACTGCCTGCCCTCCAGGACATCTACAGCATCCAGTGTCGAAGGAAGGCCAAGAAGATCATCAAGGACCTCAGCCACCCAAGTCACGGCCTGTTCACCCCTCTACCATCCAGAAGGCGGAGACAGTGCAGGTGCATCAAAGCTGGGACCGAGAGACTGAGAAACAGCTTCTATCTCCGCCCAGTACCCTGCCCTGAACCTTAGTCACTGTTCTAGCCAGCTACCAGCAGGTACTCTACCCTTCACCTTAGAGACTGCTGCCCTACAGTGGATTCGGAAAGTAGTCAGACCCCTTGACCTTTTCCACATTTTGTTACGTTACAGCCTTATTCTAAAATGGATTAAATTGTTTTTTCCCCCTCATCAATCTAAACACAATACCCCATAATGACAAAGCTAAAACAGGTTTTAAAATGTATTTGCACATTTAAGTATTCAGACCGTTTACTCAGTACTTTGTTGACGCACCTTTGGCAGAGATAACAGCCTCGAGTCTTCTTGGGGATGACGCTACAAGCTTGGCACACCTGTATTTGGGTAGTTTCTCCCATTCTTCTCTGCAGATCCTCTCAAGCTCTTCCAGATCGGATGGGGAGCTATTTTCAGGTCTCTCCAGAGATGTTCGATCGGGTTCAAGTCCGGGCTCTGGCTGGGCCACTCAAGGACATTCAGAGACTTGTCCCGAAGCCACTACTGCGTTGTCTTGGCTGTGTGCTTAGGGTCGTTGTCCTGTTGGAAGGTGAACCTTCACCCCAGTCTGAGGTTTTCATCAAGGATCTCTCTGTACTTTCATATTTTCCGAGATCCTGACTAGTCTCCCAGTCCCTGCCGCTGAAAAACATCTCCACAGGATGATGCTGCCACCACCATGCTTCACCATAGCGATGGTGCCAGGTTTCCTCCAGACGTCATGCTTGGCATTCAGGCCAAAGAGTTAAATCTTGGTTTCATCAGACCAGAGAATCTTGTTTCTCATGGTCTGAGAGTCCTTTAGGTGCCTTTTGGCAAACTCCAAGCGGGCTGTCATGTGCCTTTTATTAAGGAGTGGCTTCCGCCTGACCACTCTACCATAAAGACCTGATTGGTGGAGTACTGCAGAGATGGTTGTCCTTCTGGAAGGTTCTCCCATCTCCACAGAGGAACTCTGGAGCTCTGTCAGAGTGACCATCCGGTTCTTGGTCACCTCCCTGACCAAGGCCCTTCTCCCCCGATTGCTCAGTTTGGCTGGGCGCCCAGCTCTAGGAAGAGTCTTGGTGGTTCCAAACTTCTTCCATTTAAGAATGATGGAGGCCACTGTGTTCTTGGGGACCTTCAATGCTGCAGACATTTTTTGGTACCCTTCCCCAGATCTGTGCCATGACACAATCCTGACTCTGAGCTCTAGGGACAATTCCTTCGATCTCATGGCTTGGTTTTTGCTCTGACATGCATTGTCAACTGTGGGACATTATTTAGACAGGTGTGTGCCTTTCCAAATCATGTCCAATCAATTGAATTTACCACAGGTGGACTCCAATCATGTTTTAAAAACATCTCAAGGATGATCAATGGAAACAGGATGTACCTGAGCTCAATTTCGAGTCTCATAGCGAAGGGTCTGAATACTTATGTAAATAAGGTATTTAAAAAAAAAAAAATTATACATTTGCCAAAATGTCTAAATACCTGTTTTTGCTTTGTCATTATGGGGTATTATGAGGACATTTTAGAATAAGGTAGTAACGTAACAAAATGTGGAAAAAGTCAGGGGTCTGAATACTTTCCGAATGCACTGTATGTACATAGAGTCACTGGTTACTTTTATAATGTTTACATACTGTTTCTTCCACTTTATATGTATATACTGTATTCTAGTAGCTCATACTACATAACTTATTTTTTTATTTTTCTGGATTATGTATGTATTGTTATTTATTTATTTGTAGGTCTTTTTTAATTGCTAGGTTTTACTGCACTGTTGGAGCTAGAAACACAAGCATTTCGCTGCACTTGCAATAACATCTGCAATTCTGTGTACATGACCAATAAACATTGATTTGATTTGAAATCATTCCCCCTGGAGCTGTGAGACATCATTATCTTTATTGAACACTATGTCTAACCTGGGGATGTCAAATGTTAGACTCCAGGACACCTGTCGTCGATGCTTCTTAATGCTTTGTGTGTGTGTGTGTGTGTGCAGATGTGCATGTCTGTGTGTGTGTATGTGTATGTGTGTGCAGATGTGCATGCATGTGTGTGTGTGTGTGTGCAGATGTGCATGTCTGTGTGTGTGTGTGTGTATGTGTGTGCAGATGTGCATGCCTGTGTGTGTGTGTGTGTGTGCAGATGTGCATGCCTGTGTGTGTGTATGTGTGTGTGTGTGTGTGTGTGCAGATGTGCATGCATGTGTTTGTGTATCCCATTGCCACTGCTGCACTCGGCAAGTGAGGAAGGGGTTGCTGCTGCTGCATGCTCACTACAGGAAGGTTACGTGAATGTCCTTCGAGAGGATTGTGATCACATCATCCCAGCTCACCCCACCGCAAACATCCCTCCCCTCTCTTTCTCTCCATCTTACTCTCTCTCCCTCTCTTTCTCTCCATCTTACTCTCTTTCCCTATCTTTCTCTCCATCTTACTCTCTCTCCCTCTCTTTCTCTCCATCTTACTCTCTTTCCCTCTCTTTCTCTCCATCTTACTCTCTTTCCCTCTTTCTCTCCATCTTACTCTCTCTCCCTCTCTTTCCATCTCTTGCTCTCTCTATCTCTTTCTCCCTCTTCATTCTCTCTCAATCAGGCATAAATAACTCTATTCCCTGAGCCACACAGAAGCAGGCCCATTCAGTCTGCAGATAGAGGGGAAGAGAGACTGTAATGATTACATTGTGCAAGGACAAAGGGACGGGAAACCTGTCTACTAACTGGATTGTTTGAATCATGACTTACTCCATAAAATGGCTTCCCGGACCATCCCCTCCCTGCCCCTAGCTGAGACCAATCATTAATATTATGACAATATGGTTTTCAGAGAATTATGCTCTATTATGCCCTCCAATAATACCGTTTCTGCTTTTTTACTGTTGAATGCACTCAAGCATTACATTTTTCAGCGTATGCATGATACAATTCATGATGACAAATGGAATATATCTGAGCATGACATACTGCAATATGTAGAATAGAATGAAGTTCATCTACTGTAAAAGTATCTGAAATAAATCATTGTTAGATAAACTGTCAACTTGTCAAGCCGCTAGTAATGAAACATTAGTCATATGTAGCGACAGTACTGACCTGTAAGGATGAATAGATAACACCCTTTTACTAAGTTTGAAGATATAGGTGTAGGGTGAAGTTGCCCCTAGATGCTGATCTGGGGTCAGTTTAGCATTTTCCCCACTAATAGCTAAGGTTCGGATTGGGGGACGGGAAGTTGATCTTAGATCTGTACCTACTAGGGGAAACTTCACCCCGGAGCGAAGATGCAGAGCAAAGGT